AGTTACATTCTTCTTTGGCTATTAACCATTGGATGCAAAACGATTCTGAAAGGAATAACCTCACATTGGTGCACTAGCCGATTGTTTGTCAAACCAACACCACAAACAAGTTAAGAACCCCTCAAACAATATTATTTATGGCATTAGTACTCGAATTAGAACCATTTAGTGGTAGCAGCGATCAAAACATATCAGATTGGCTTACTAGATTCAATGTACTATGTACTATAGCCGATATTCAAAGTGAGAAACGCCATTTAGTATTACCATGGTTTCTGAAATCGGAAAGAGTGATAAACTGGTTCATAGATACGGATTTGGATCATTTAACTTGGGAGGATCTACAAAGAACATTGATAAGAACTTTTGGATCAAACCAGCATCAATTTCATTCACAACATCATCAGATAGTATATGACCACTACTCGCCGACATCAACTGTTAATCACCAGTTATTATCATCAGCACTCCAAAATGAACCACTATCAATGTGGCCTTCCGGTGACCAAGAATGGTATGTACACGAAATGCAGCAACAACGTGCGATTTTCACGAAAGCAACACCAACAAAATTAGAAGCTACGGATAATGAAATATCGAACGATATTAAACAGTCACAAAGCGAACCAATGATCATGCGCCAACCAGTACTATTTGAACAACAACATATACAACTGAAAAATCCACAGCAGATATACCATCTTGCAGCAGGATTACAAGAACACCCATCGTCTTCGATTATTCAATCAGCAATTATTCTTACTAATAAACTGGATGGATTGCTTGACCAAGACATCTACCCCTTGGCTTATAAACACAATTATTGTGTTACAGGTACTGGTCCACAGCAACGAACGATTGATGTGAATTTTGCATTCACATATGATAAATTTATGGGTGGTTTATTAGACGATAATCAGACCACCTTATTGACGCACTGGGATTGGCTTTGGCCGTATATGGTTCCATGATAAACAACGACATCCGGATTCCAAACTGTCAAATTACCCTCGGTTCTCCACATGGACACGATATTCATTGAAGAATAACACAGTCGATTTGTTGGACAAAATCATTTGGTCAGGTGGTGGCAGCTTCTGATCGATTTTGTCAGCATTATTAACATTAAATAACAGATTTAACAACATTTGTCCTGATCATTATTATGGTCTACAATGGTAGCATCCGTTACCGATGGAGTCAATGTTATGGGAATTGTCTCGCTTTTCTTTTTTTTTCTCTATTTTTTAGTTTTTGATTCTTGCATTTGTTTTTTTTTTTTATTATTAGTATGGTGACGATGAGCGGGACGCTTCATCTAGTGGCAGGGGAGGTGTTAGGAAGTAGTTAACCTAATCTCATATCAATAGTTGTCATCTTTCAATATACATATTCTCATCGTCACTCGATGGTTATTTTTCCTTTCTGCTCCTCTGATATATGTATTCACTCTTCTGCTTTTTATGATATATATTTTCTCTTTCTGTTCACTCTTTCCCACGGGGATTTTTCATTCCTATCCTTCTCTCCCTCTCACTCTCTCTCTCTCTCTCTCTCTCTTGTACAATAGCTGTTTTTCCCAGTTTCCCAAAGGGATCTTCCTGTAGCTAAAATATACTATATATAGATGTTAATTTACTGAAATAAAGTGTGTGTAACAGTTACATTCTTCTTTGGCTATTAACCATTGGATGCAAAACGATTCTGAAAGGAATAACCTCACACTTGCCCAGCAATACTTACTAAAATGATCTTTAAGCTGTAGTATCCAATGATAAATTTTTCCATTTGGATTTGCATCTGGTCCTGTCCTCACGTCTACGGCATCCACTTGGATTCTCGTCATGAACTCTACAGATTATCAAAATGGAGTTTTCCATCTTATGATACATCATTTGAAAAAAACCATTGCAAAGAAAACTTCAACGTTATATACAGAACAAAAAATTTTTTTTCAATTCAGAGAACACACATAAACGATCTTAGATTTAAATGGTGAAACAACTAACCCACCAAAAAACAACAAAAAAAAACATTTTAAACCTCTCAAACACATAATCTACTAAGCACCTTGTTTTTCACAAATGAAGACTTCACTACTGAATATTATTATTGAATGATATTGCTTACCTAGTGTGCCGATGAATACACTTGTCACTTAAAAGAGTGATTCATCATCGTTAATTTGTTAATGAACACATGCGTCATCAGCAATCGAACAATTGATCAATCGATTAAATACAAGAACACTTGGCAACATAAGGCCAAGGTGAACGAAACAATCGCAGAATAACGGACATTATCATTGATGAGATGGCACCAAAGATTACATGACATAAATGACATAAACTCAACTGAAGGTTCATCATTCAGTGGATGGCCTTTTGAACAACAACTGTTGCGTCAATCGTGTAATATGTGACATTCGGTCATCCCTTCCTTTTGTGCCATATGACCTCGATTAATGAACTTGATGTCCTCTCCTTTTCTCTTCTCTTCTTCTCTCTCGCACCTTTTTCTCTCTCTATATATATACACGGTGCATTTTGTCGAAAAAAGAGTTCAGTCGTAGATCGATTTCCGAATCGGTTCTCAATTGAAATCACGTAGCGTCAAGGAGTGTAGACGAGTCGTGTCAAGAGACAGACGCACTAGGAGTGTTCTTCTTATCATTACTTTCTTGTGTGTTCATTATTGTACGCAACGCATATATACACTTAGTTCATTATATATTGTTAATTCTTCTATTACATTTATTCATAAATAAATCATTATCACCCTGGGTGGTCTGAATATTCTCCCATATCAATATCTCTTGATCGACACCAACACGCCCATCTCCCATATCGTTTTCGTTACATTCAGTGCTACCGTTTGACGATGGACACTCACGGATATCTTTACGTTCCTGATGTTAAGAAGCTAGAGATGACACGATAGCTGTTGGGGGATAATCTTGGAAATCAGCGAGTTACTAAGATGTTAAAAGATGCGAAAGAGAGCATTGTTGTGACTGGAGGACAAGGTCAAGAAGATGAATTTTCACAATTATCAAATCCTCAAGGAGTTATCGTTGATTCTTCAGCACTGTCTATGTAGCAGAATCGGGAATTCATCAAGTAATGCGTTGGCCTACAGGAGTTACTCATGGAAACGTTCTTCTAGGTGGAAATGGAAACGGTGTACAACCGAATCAATTCTTTTGTCCTATTGATTTATCATTCGATCGACATGGGAATCTTTATGCTGTCGATTTCGGAAATAATCGCGTTTTACAATGCAATATTGAACATAATCATTGAAAGGACAATTCTCATTATGTCTGTTGTAACCGAGCGGTTTTGTTCTTGATCATCAAAAACTTTGTTACTATGTTAGACGAGTAATCGAGACTGAAAAACGTCTATTTAGTTAAAATTCGTTTTCGTCTGTATTGTTTCTTAATACATGTATTGTTTTTAGTCACTCAAACCCATAATGGTGAGAACAATAACAACCTTAATGTAGTTCCTGCTGCAAATAATACAAACAGTGGGTATTCAATATGATCATTGCATTTCATTTTCTTCTTGACTATATGCAAATTCAAACGAGTCTCGATTGGTACAAAAAATGGTTCTTCACTTTCCCTGTTTAGTTTATCACGAGAAAATATTAAACTCCCATTCCTTGATTGTTAGGAATTCAACCAATGGCATCCAGGACAAAAGCCTCCAGAATGAGAGGAACACTTTTCTATGCACGGTGACAGTCACAGTTAGTACGCAGGACGTCACGCTCGGTATGCGCACCTTGCATACACGTTCGTCATGCGTACCAATCGAAACGTACGTCACGCGTACGTCGCATACAGTGAGTGACGTGCGCGTACAACGGGCGTACCGCTCTACCTGGGTAGTAGCTGTGTATCTTCTCTGACATTAACCAAACACTTTCCAGCCACTATATCGCCGATCTGACCTACACATACCATAAGAAATATTTTTTTCAATATAGAAAAACCTTTAATAATCTCCATTTTTACCAGCTTTAGCGTTTTCAGTACCATGCAATTTCAATGAATTATAAAAACCTTTTCTAGCAAATAATAATTTTAATTGCTGTTGAAAATCAACTTTTATATAGCGTAGAGTTTTTGTCGCAGTACAATGGTGGCACACGTTAGTTGAACAATCCATAGAACACTTGCTGCACAAGTAACAATATTTGATGAAAGAGCTTTTATTGGTTAACGGGAAATCAATGACTTTTTTTAGTTTATATGATGTTATATCGGGATAGTTATTAACTGTCAATTTATTTAATTCAATAATATCTTCAATAGCTCTCCAAGATAAATTATGTTGAGCTTTCAAGGCGGCTAATCCGATGAACAAACTCTTATCATCCAGATAGGATTAAAAAAACACTCTCTGAGTGTGATGAATATTAAGAGAAGCTCCGCCTCAGCATCGGCCATGCTGTTCGAGGGTAAATTTTATTTTATTTTTTATTCATGTCCCGTTCGAAAAGAGCATACAGAATAACCACTACTCTGCAATAATTCGTTCTGAAAGTGCTTTTTTAAAAAAACTACAGACCAAACATTCTACTGAGGGCTACATCTAGTGCCATGTTTTTGTCTGCATCAGTTCATATCATATCAGTACAGAAAAAAACTGTTCAATTTTTTAAAAATGGCTAAGAAATAGGTATGGAAAAAGACATTTTTCTCCTACTTTTCATAAATGAACCTTTTTAGTTTTGTGCTGAAAAAACTGAAAATGACTCAATGCTAGCTACTCATGTCAAAATTTGATAAAATTTCTTCTCTCCTAACCATCTAAAAATCTTATAGCCAATCCGCTTGCGATACCTTTCACGAGCTTGTCGGACTTTCTTTTTGAAAAAATACAGTTTAGACGGTTAGCAGAAAAGAATTACTATCAAGTTTTGATATGAGTATCTAGTATTGAGTCATGCACAGCTTTTACATGGCTTATATTTAGAAAGTACTGAAAAAAACGAAATGTTTAAAAATATTGATTATTTTACTTTTCTATTATTTAATCCTAGATAGGCAAACATATTGTTATATCTAAATACATGATCTTATAGAGTAAACAATCCTCTTTCAAATGAGACATGAATAAAAATAAAATAAAATTTATCTCCGGATAGGCTTATCGTACCTAGGTCGGTTTTCTGACGAGGGCTCTCTTGGCAGACTACAGACAATCACATAAAAAAGTCAGAACGGAATAACAATCTAAACACGTACCACCTTGTTGACTATTATGAAGCGTATCAGTGTTTGAACTAGATTCGTTATCAGCTAATGGAAAAATGTCATTCGTTGGAGGTGGATTAAGCAGAACAGGATTGAAAACAGTATTACTATTGGTACTTGCGATTGGCTTAATATACGAAAGAGTATCGTCGTTTTCCGATTTTCTAAACCTCAAAATGTTCTGATTAAATCGATTAGGTGGGTGCTAAAAAACGAAACTCATATGCAGAATGACGAGCGTTTTCTTGCAAATAATTGTTCTAAATAATTATCATCATCATCCCTTTTATGTTTCTTTCTTTTGCGTTTTGGTTTGCTTGCGTACATCATCTGTATTGTTTTTAAACCCAAAACTGTTTTACAAAAGAAAAACGAAACTTTTCCCGTATTGTTTTTAAAATTTGAATTTTTAGTACAATATAGAAACGCGCTTGATACTTTATGTCAATCTTATGACGATATTTAATTGATACACTATCGTTGCCTCGACTCTATGAAAATATAAACAAATTAAAAGTAATATACAATTCTATTTTCTCTTATCATTCGGTGTCATATTTAAGACAACAAGTTAATTTAAAATAACAAGATATTTCGACATATGACAGCTCAGTTTAATAATCTCTAATTGTCAAATACAAATAATCATTAATTGCTATCTGCTTATGTTTTTCATTAAATGTGATTGTGATATAAAACTCG